CAAACAAGCAACTGCACAAGTCAACACGGACCATCCTAAATAAGGCCAGTGAGTGACGAGCCGAAGCGCCAACACCAGTCAATCACCCGATTGACCAACTTATTGCTTGTGTCATGTGCAAACGAATCGTTTACATGCATTTTTAAGTTTTCAGAATTAATATCAAAGCGTGATCAAATTACTCAATCTTGGTGCACAGATACCTGATTTTATTCTTGTCTCGTCCATTCCAAAACAAAACAATTTTTTAATGAGTTCATGGTATCAGCTAGTTGTTTCCACTTATGACCAATCAAGCACCTAGACTAATTTGCTGACAAACCTGCTCGGACCAAGAACCAAGAAAAACAGAATTTCGCTTAATATACATTAAAAAGAAAAGAAAACTTTTGCGGATGACAAACTCACCAACATCTGGAACATTTTAAGTAGGTTGTCAGACTTTCACTATTCTCCGTTACTATTAAAATACCGGAAAGCCTTGTCCAAAGAGGTAAAGCAATTTAAAGAGCAAGAGTCACCGTGGATTCGAGGTTGATGACCTTTGAGTAATTCGATAACGCGGTGTTACGATGTAACAGTCATTGGATTGCCTATGAGAATACGCTTTAGGACTGCAATTCGCCTTGGTCAACCGGACACGAGATGATGATACAGTAGGCGTAAACTGCCAATTAAAAAAGAAAACATAGAGGAGAATCAGTAACGAAATCAAACAAGTTTCCGAACTTAGAACACTGACCAGAAACTAGCACAAAATGTTATCTGAAAGAAAGGAAAGTTGATCACTGTTCGAATGACGATCTTCGTTCACCTTCATGATCCGACCCTTTCGATCTCTTCCTTTCGTGAAGTTGATGGCGCAGTACTGATCTCCGGTTCTATGGAATCGGCCAGGCAAGGTGCAGAGCAACGTGGTAAGCGTGGCTTATAGTCTCCTTCTTCCTTCCCTCAGCATAGTACCCATTTATAAACCTCATAAGGAAAAAGGCCGAGTGACTCTGACCGGCGTTTGAACACAAGACTT